ATGATGGTACGAAGTTTCTCAACGTTGTTGAACGGTAAGAGGAAATCTAACCAGATTCTTGTTTATGTTGGTATCGGTTTTGTATTAATGTTGATATCGGAACCGTTATAGATACGACGCTTGGTTAAATGAGTGGACCTATATGACACCAATGCGATCATGTCGACATGCGCTTTCCCTTTCCATACTCAACGGCTGTTTATATGCCGTTGGAGGATGCGATGAAGTCTCATCTTTGAATTATGTGGAAAGGTGAATTAGCAGGTGTTCGACGCATCACGTTGAAGGTTTCTTTGGTTTCATGGTGGGACTATGTTTACATGAAAATATATTATTCGTAGACAACAGCAAAATTATGAGATAAATGTGCCTCTGGTGGTAAGGGTCGAAAATGGATGCAGATCTTGCTTTTGACCACAATTCTTTGACGACATTCCGCCACTTGACTTCCCGTGATTAAGTGGTCCTCAGAATGACTCCGTGCTTTTGAAAATGTTATACGCGTTCACAGAGAACATACCACTTTCGTCCCTCAAAACGGCGAGATAAAGAAGTTAGAGACACGTGAGCGTTGCAACGCGTGCAACATCATACTGTAGCTGTACGAACAGGGTGAAGCATCGATTTGTGTCGAAACCATGGGGAGGGGGTCGTCTTTTCTCTGGGGAGGGAGGGGGGTAGTGTTTTGTAAACAATTATTTATTTTGATATTGATTGTTTTTATTGTGGAAAAGCCCCCGTTGCAAATTTTCGCCGATTATGATACTCATTGTCGTCGTCGGCGAAATAGCCGTGGAAGGTGGAGAGCGGGGGGGTAGTCAGGCTCTTCAGAGGTGGATTTCGGCACAATCCATGTGTACGCCTGAGTTGAGGTGCAACATATACTGTAGCTGCAGAGAACGACACAAGCCAATTTTGAAGTCGGCGAGCAAGTGTCGCGTGGGGGGAGGCTTTGGGCCTTGCGATTAACTCAAATTTTTGGAGCATCCGATTTTTGATTTGCCAGTGAATGTGAGTCAAGAGCTCGCCAACGAAAATGTTTCCTAACGAGATGCCTTTTTTCCCGGATCAAAACATTAAATAAAACAATGATCAACAAGCATGCAGAACGAAAAGCTGAGGACACAGTTCAGGTCGCGATTGCGGCAGGCTGGAGAAAGTTCCAACACCATTTCCGGCTTCGCACTCGCCTTGCTGGGGACTGTTTGCGTTTGGGTGTTCATTGAGGCTTTTCGGACCCCTATTCTACTGGAGAGTACCAGGGGCAATTGGTTTATGACCACATAACTACACGTAACACTTGATCGACGCGGGAATCGTTTGAGACAGAAGCACGCATCGCCTGCAAGGTGCTTCCCCCCTGCATTTGCGGGGCCAATACCTTAATGACGAAGGGCCTGGTTTCATCTTCGCCGCGATTGATAGAGCTGATTCGCTGTGCTTAGAAAGCAGTCAATTGCTCTTTGTTCTAGCCGTTATCATCTGATTCAGAGTCTGCAGCATGAGCAACGCGTCAATTCTCACCCGCCGCATCAAGAGTTTGCATTTTAATCGCACTCGAAGGGGCAAAGTACGAGACTTGGCGAAGGGTCAGTAGCGCCGCTCGCATGAGACATGCGTTCTGCGGCGCCGGTCGGTACAGATACATGCATGCTCTGCTCCGCAACTTGCTGCTTTTTAGGCGGAGCATGGAGGAATTAGCCGATTCCGCGCAAGTTCGCGCGAGGAAGTCATTACGCTGTGACAGTTGCGGCCGGCTAATGCCGTTTGGACTCCAAGAATTTCGGCACCCAGCCCATTTGTAAATTGCCTAAGTCACCAAATCCGCCAAAAACTTGTATATAGGGTAGTTTAACCTGATTAAGAATATGACATTCACTTTTGTCGCTGGCGTCAAGAGAGGACACTAGGATCACCTCCTGGGCTCAGCCTTAGCAGAGCGCAGATAATCGTAGTGTCATCCATTAGCGCCAGCGACAAGAGTGAATGTCATATTCGTAATCAGGATGTTAAACTACCCCTATATACAAGTTTTTAGCGGATTTGGTGACTTAGGCAATTTAAAAATGAGCTCGGTGCCGAAATTCTTGGAGTCCAAACGGCATTAGCCGTTGCGGCCCTGGTAGCCTCACATATGCTAGGGAGCACTCGGAGGTGAGTATGCGTGCGTTTTGTCTTGCGATGGACCGAATAAGCTTTTCGGGGCAGTGATCCAAGAATGTGGCAAGCTTCTGCAGCTGTGGACCTATCCACCGCGCGCATGATAAGAACCGTCCTCGAAAGTGAGTGCGCACTTGTCTTCACGTGGAACAGCGCCCTTTGGCGAACGCTGTGGCCAAAACAAACATATTGCTGAGCGCTACCATATGCATACCAGAGAAATGATGTTTGTTTGGTGTGAGTAAGCAAAATACTATTGCAAACTACAATTCAGCGCTCTCGTTTCAGACTTGACCCACGAGTTGGTAAGTGGCAAGCGGTTCGTCCCATGTCAACATGCCGAGAACGTCTAGGATCTGCTGTGATAAATGGATACTTGTATGCAGCGGGAGGATCTCATGGCACATGCCAATTGAAAACGGTTGAGAAATACGACCCTCGCATCAATGAATGGACTTCAGTGGCTGACATGAACGAAGTTCGAGTTGGAGTGAGTTTTTGTGCAGCCTTCCATTTCTGTAAAAAATTGTTTCCTTTCGAGTGAAAAGCAAGAAAAGGTTCTGTTTGTAGATGAGATTGGCCGTTGTCAACGATAGGCTTTATGCTGTGGGTGGGCGTGGAGGCGCCGACCAAGAAACAGTTGAAGTTTTTGATCCTGAAGCGAATCAATGG